TTTTAATTATTCGCATAAAATAAGAAACTAAACTTTAATTATTATAGTTTGACTGGTGGATTGTTCATTTAGTTTTTAAGCAAAAAGAATGTGTGTAATTTAATTCATATTTAAATTTTATCAAACCTTAACACACAAGATGTATTTTAACCATTTACATCTTGATAAACCAAAACCTACCCTAAATGTAAATATTTTTTTTAATCGAAGTCATATTTATAATAGGCCTAATATGCATTACAATTTAATGTACTAATTTTAGTGGTTTTAAACATCCTTACATCGATACAAAAATTTTTAGGGTGTCTATGGGAGGAAGTGGTGCACGGTAAAACAACATGGCCACCAACGTGTATTATTTTTTAGTTTATTCTAGCAAAACAGAATGTGTACTAGGAAATAACCATAAGGTGTCATATCGTCCAACTCATACAACTTCCGGAAGTTTCTGGAAGTTATATCTCGTCCAGCACGTATAAAAAAGAATATACAACAAGTATGTATAAAATTAAACTAACAGTTATTAAACACAAAAATTGGTGTTATCTTATCGACTTGAAAACTTACAAGGAGTAAGGAACAAAAAACAGGTTTTTCATTGCCAGACTAAGTTTGAGTTATAAGATCAAACCTTTTTGTTAATGTCAAAATTGTCTGTGAAAAATCGCTAAGAATGATTTTAAACATTCCATGGGAGAATAGACCAATCTTAAAATGTCTATAAATTAAATCAATGAAAATATTATGTATAGCATACAATTTATAATTATATTTTTCCATTGTTCCCACGAATATACCTGAAAAGTTGCTTATAACTGTTAAAATAAAATTAATCTACCAATTTTAAGGTTTAACTAATCCAGAATCTTCAAAGCTTCCCAAATGTTCATTTTCAGACGTTTCAAATTAAATATCTTCCATCTTTTTACGACCTCCGCGTTCGTTAGAAAAATACTATCTACACAAGATTGGAAAATATATAGTAAACAACCGATTGTCTTATTTAATTTCCCCATTAGGTACCCTGAGTCTACACATTTTTCATTATTATTGTACCGATTATTAGTTTGTATAAAAAATATATATTTTATATATGTACCTAAGACGGAAGTAGCTTTGTTTTGTTGTAGTGGTATCATTGATTGTAGATGTTCTAGCCGGAAAATCGTGGTACTGTATTGGAGCATAATCAGTCAGGAAAGGGGTTGGCTCTTTGACAATTTTATAGCTCGTGATAATTTGATTAGATAAAATTAAATATAATTTGTGAACTTTTAAGATTTTTATTATCTCTTCAGAAATATGTAGTTTTCTTGAATCTCGATCAATATGTATGTATCTGATATGTAAACTGTTTGAACTTAAATATGTGTAAATACTTTGTTTTTGAAATTGGTATGCTCAAACTGTAAATCATATAAAATCTTAATTTGGTATTGTTAGCAGAGAATTAAATCTTTTTGGTAAATTTTTCAGACGAGTTCCAGTTGTTTGTGGAAAACCTACCTTTATTAGCTGTGCCAATTCAGCCCCATAGAGTCTACCGTATTAAAGATCTACCCATTCTGATTATAATGGTACATTTATATTGATTTGGGAGTAGTTAATTATTCCCCATGACACATGACTCTCAAACTAAAAGGCCTGACAAAAATAGTCTTACTACAAAAGCTATAATATTATAAATTATTTTATTCTGTAGGGCAATTGGTTCATACATTGGGTGTACATTATTTATATCATAAATCAATCAGATCTATATACATATTCCATTGCATTGTTTTCTATATCACCTAATCGATATCGTAGGCGTAGCATTATCAGTTAATATCAAGTTAGTAAATGAAATAAGATAATGAGACTCTCGGCTCAGTGCGCATTAGCTCCAAACAAAAGGCTCAAAAGAGATTTCAGCTCTCAAAGAGTATTTATGAATTGGCCTTTTGTTCTTAGCAATAAAAGTAAATTGTTGGAGTTATTCAAAGTAAGTGAATTCACTCGGCTTTGCTGAAACCTTATTTCCCAGTGGTTTGAATTTATTAAATTGGCTTTCGCTTTAATAAGTACATTGAGGATTATTATTCGAAATCTGATCGAAAAACTTTAAATACCTTCCGATTTATTGAGTCTTAGTTATTTAAGAACCCTTTCATACAAATTTGTTGGGTAAAATTCGGGTATATTGATTGCTTGATAAAATAAAAAATCTTGTTATGATGGTTAAAATGTTTATGTTAAAAATACAAGACACCTTAGTTGAGATTTTAGGTAGCATTTTTTTACTCTCGTCTTTCAATAACTTATCAATAGAAAGTTTGGACTTCAAACTGTTTAGGATAGCTCTTCAATTCATTAGAATACGTTAATAAGTATAAATGAAGTTAGAAAGTATAAAACAATCCATACTTATTTCAAAAGCCATGGCTCGGTAAAGCGTATTGCAACTTTGAAAAATAATCCTTTATATATAATGGAAATTCACGTCTTGTTTACAACAAATGTTGGCTGTTATAATATAAGTTTCAGTGGAATTTCAATTTATTGTGATGTAAATTTTAACCTGGCAATCCACAACATATTCATATATTTTACGCCACACTACACTGTTTAACGAACTCCCTACGCAAGGATTTAGTTCAGAAAACTGCTGTTTGTTGCCAGCTTAATCAAATGGGGTTTAATTACGTACTACTGTACTGTAATGTTTTTACATACACCGGCTGATTATATTTGGCAATGAGTGCCTAAAAACAAAACCATAACCTATCTTAGAGGTTATGAGTAGTAATATTTATTCCTTAGTCGTTGGGAATATAATATAAGGATTTGTCCAGATTTTTATTGTTAAGTTAGCTTAGATATGGCGTAAAATATCGTACGCCAATCTTCCAAAATGTGTTTACCGGACTCGTATGGTAATTTGTCTGGATTGGTGTTTGGCGTCCCAACGTCATGCCTATTGGTAATATTAGAAATAACAAAAGTGTAAATATAAACATGTCCTATACTGTCTATTATAAATTAACGCAACAGCTGTTTCGGTTTGACGGGACAGCATTGTTGCCACGGCCTAGTTATAAGTTTTGGGAAACTCTGTTATTTAAATAATATTTTGTATTGCCGAACAAAAAGTACGGATATGAGTACATATAAGTACATTTAGGTCCGTTCAGTAAATAATGTACCTTAACAATTTATTTAACTGTTATTCTAAGTATTTAGTTGTAAGAAAATAATTAACGACTACCTATTACCACATGATGTGGCACAACAATCAAATAATATAATAGCATTACAGGTTGGGTAAAGTACTGAGTTGATAGTTCGGTCAATCACCGCTTGAAGTCACCACCATACGGGCTCGTCCACAGTTCTCCTTGTCCCTGCTAGATGGCACTACCGTAATGGTTTGCTACAGTTCTCCCATTCGCCGCTATATGTCAACGAAATCTACTTGTCTAATCCAGTTATTTGTTTATTCATTTACTTATAATTTATTAAAACATAATTGGCCTAAGACAAAAAGATTGTTAATACATTTGAATTAAAGCACACATTTCGATTTAAAGCTGTGCTCATTGACTAAGAAACCTTTTTATCCGTTGACTCTCGCAGTGATTATTGGGTGTCTTCTACAAGACTAACTCGTCCATCTTCAGCGTATTGCTGGTTCGGAATTCGCACTTCGGTTCGGGAGGGACGGGTTCGATGTCGATCACCGGCACACCGCACAGAGAGGTTTTTCAAAGGCTGAAGAGGATCTGATCAAGGCCACACTTCTGATCCTATAGCAGCCCTGTCTGGGGAGTTTCGGCTTCCTGGATTAAATATCACGGTATTTATTTTCCCTTGGTTTATAACCATACCATATTTCTTAAAGTTACAGCTATTCACAATTGTTATAGAGCATTATTTAACACCTGAGAGTTGTATCTCTTAACTGAGGCCAATGATTGGCTTAAAAGCTAATATACAGTCTGCTTATTTCGATAAGGAAACGTATTTTATTTTCTTATACTGCTGATTGAATACAGAATTTCCATTAAAAAGTATAACAATCGAACGTTTCAGTGGTTGTTTTAGGACTAGATTTCATTCTGTTCGTTTGAGGTCCTTGAGTTAGAATGTCTAAGTGGGATCATCATGTTATAATAATATGTGGAATGGATTTTAGATATCATGCCTTGATTTTTGTTGTTTCAGTGATAATAAAATGTGCTGTAATAAAATTCACTCTATTATCAAATTATGTGTCGTACGGAATAGCTGCGGAGTATGCTTAAAAAAAATGATATCAAATATTAGTATTACAGATTATACCAATACGATCGATGCTAAGTCCAAATTATAATAAGTCTGTAAAGCAACAGTTTTTCGATTCCAAAATATTAATGGAGTTTTGTTTCTTTGTGTTGGAATGTGTAGTCCATGTAATAAAACAACCAGGATAAATCTAGATTACATTGCGAAACCTACCATACAATACCAGAAACAAAAATCGTTTAGTATGGCCGAAATCCAATCTTAAAAAGTAAAAGCCAAGCCATTATACTCTGGTATACATTTGTTTACTAATTCCCAAAGAAATAAAAAATATTATTAACTTTAAAAGGTTTCAACAAAAGCTCAAAGAGTTTATGTAAAAAAGTTGGTTTATTCTATACAGTAGTTGAATTGTGTGTAAACGTCTACTAACAGCTATGGACGGTTTCATTTGTATGGATTGAATACAATATTTATATGGTGACACTATTTATTGTACATTTTTATAGCATAAATAAAGATAATTTTAATTATCTTCTCATCCCTATTCTACTGGTTTTTCAGTTACATTCTGTTTAAAAACTATTTTATTTGACTGAACATATAATTCTAAAACATGAAGAGCGTAAAATATAATTTTCGGTTAATTTTCTTACACCTGTGACCATCATGCCTAGATCAATATCATTATCGATCTAAAATTAATTTACGTAATTATAAAACAGCTGTAACTACACTTGGTGAACACTCCACTGCTTACCATGTTCCTAGCCAGAGCTATTTTATTAGTAAGTATAAATTATTTTGTTTAGAATTTTTTTACTAACTTTAAAGGAGTTGCGTTCACACAAAAATATGTACTGTATGTATAAGTAACACTAGCGTTTTTATTAAATTATATCTTTTTGATACATAAGATGGAGGATTAATGCAGAACATTGCGCTGCACGGGTCCTCTAGTATAATATTGTTAATCTGCAACACTGTAACTATAATAAAAAAATTGTTTATCTTTTAAATTTGGTTTAAAATTGTTTTGAAGTATTTAAACTTTTGTTTATTTTGGTTATTTTTGGTAAGTTTCTAACTGCAAAAGAGTTAAAGGTGTACAGCACAATTTTAAAATAAAATATTTCGCTATATATTTCTTGCGTTTAAAAAAGACTTTGGCTTTGTTTCCTTTGATACAATCCTTTAGATACTTTCTTTGGGTCTTCAGGAAAATGAAAGCAATATTGTTTGTCTTTAGGTTTTCATCTACAATGAAGCTGTTCGTCCAGGTACATAACATTTTACTTATTTATAGAAATAAATTCAATTTAGACATACCAAACTCAAAACATCTGTGCTAAACGATTACGATTTTTACTTTGATAAAAATGTGCAGTATTTGTGATTTATCAATAAGGAGTGTGTCTGGTTGAAACTACTGTACTACAGTACTACTGTAACTACTGTAATTTGATCCTTATTCATGAAATAATTTTCAAATTTTTTTCATAACATATATTGTATTTTTCTATTGGACGAATAGATAGGTTAAACTAATGTTAGTTTCAATAAAATAAATAATACATAGGTATACAATAAACTTATAACTGCTTTACAGCATTAAATTTCACACGAGTAAAACTAAAATTAAATAACGCTGTAGCAATAACCCAAACGCAGCAAAACCTGCATACTAAGCGAATTTCTATTTTCCTGATTGAATTTTCACAAAAACATTTCCTAAAACATGTGACATATTTTGTTTTTGCCTCTAGGAATACTGTAAAGAAAATTATATTGGACCCTGACTTGCGGCAATACTAAGCCAGATTATCTATGAGAAAAAATCACTAAAACCATATCTGAAAACCGTTCAATATTTAAATTAAGAAGTGTTATGAAAAAACATCAAGGGGAAAAATTCATCTAAGTCATATAAAACATTCCAAAGACTAAAATATTTCTTAGTTGGTTTTACATGATTTCCCCGATTCACTGTATTTAATATAATTTTATTCTATGGGATTAAAATTTACATTTTTACTGCCTAGTATTAACAGCTAGTAATTTATTTTTGTTTTGTTTTGTATTCTGTTATTTGAATTATGAATCTTTAGAAATGAGACAGAGCTATAAAGGATTTGAAGACCAGTAAAAAGACAAAATCCTTCCAAACACACACTCAGAACTATTTTAAAAGTTTACAGCAACCGCAAGAGTAATTTAATATGATAGAAAGGAGAAACATACATACATTGTGTTTTATATGAACTTATGTGCTGTATCAATGTATTTACATACATTGATACATTTTTTTGATAAATTTACATACATTTTTTTCTATTGCTGAAAAAAAATACATTTTTTATTAACGGTTTTCAATTTGTGCACTATTACATACCGCTGACGTTGAAAAAAATTTAAACTGAGAAGTACTAATGCAGTACACTCGTATTAATTAAAATCAAGACATTTCAAAAGTAAAGTAGCTGTAAAAAATCGTGTCTCTAAAATATTTATGTTGAGATGTTTGTTAATCTATTCCTCCAATGCAGTTGCAGCTTATGGTGAAGTAGATGTAACCAGGCACGGCAAGCTTGTGGACACATATGCTCCTCTCGAATCTGACTGTAAGTATGCATTCGTATTTGGTAGTTTTAAAACAGAAGTAGAAGAGCTGTTTTTCGAAATAGAGCGAATTTTCTAAATTTAGCAACAAAAATACGTCAAATACACTTGTAATAATATTTCTACTTTTATACTGTTTACTCACAAGATGGTAAGTGATGATCAATTTCGATTGGACACTCAAATCATCATCAGATCCAATAGGCGAATCTTGTGAGTAAACAGTGTAAGTGTAAATATATTATTACTAGTTTTATTTGACGTATTTGTTGTACTTTCATCCAATTGATTGTAATCCAGCTACTAGGAGGTCACGAATTGTGGATATCTATAGGCATGCACAGTGGTTGCCATACTACCTACTGTAGTGTGGATTAACGTCCGCACTAGTGTGAGTAATACGACTATCCGCAGTACTATCATGATAATTAGACCAATTCGTTAATTATAAAGCAAAATGTGGTTCGGATTCCACTTTCAACTTGTGTGAGGGTAGATGGTGGAGGCGCTTGGCATGTGAGAGGTACCGGGATCGTTACCCGGCACCTCCACAATTTGCCACGTTAGATTCGCGCGGGGGCGTAACCGGGATCGAGTTAAATAATAAAAATACTTTGGTGAGAGGTAATACAACTTTTAATCATTATTCAAATACCTATTGGCTTTGTTAACGAATTGAGTAACACAAACAATAGAAATACAAAGAGTAATAAAATGGGATATAAAATGGATAATAAAATGATTACAGGCTCCTTTCACATAAGTGAGCAAATTAAATTTATATATAAAGCTCTAATAATTATAATTCTTGCTGACACGTTCTAATACCAAAACGGGAATTTAATGGTAACTATTTTTATTCAAATAAATTATAAATGAAGATCAAAAAATGATTAGGATTAACATCAATCAATCACGAGTTTTGAGATACTTATTTTTGAACAAAACCGACAGTCTGACAGCCATATTATATTACAGTATAAACTATAGAAGTATATCAGTATAGAACTATCTTGTTAAATTTGGTAATGTAGCTATTAATCATTATCACACTCCATTTATGTACTTACACAAAAAATTGTGTAACACTGATAATCAGCCACTCTGTATGTATGTATACATTAATATATTTAATAAGTATTTAGTACGTGTGAATTCGAACCTCTGGTGTTTTCGGCCTCTGGGGCTGAAAACGGAAAAGTAATTTGGTCCCGGGTCTAGGTCTTACCTTACCATGAGACCAAAGGTAAAAGCGTATTCCCTATATGGGAAATTCGCTAAAACAGGATTGTTATGATTTTATCTGTTCAATGTTTTATGTAATATTTATTTTTTGCTCTATTTCAGTGAACAGTGCTATATTCTACGAGATGATTCAGGGGTCGCGGAGAAGTGAGTTTGATATGGTTTAATCTTGTTTTTAATTTCTAATAAACCTTTTGATCAATTTTTGCAGTATACATAAATGAAAGTGAATTTTTGTAATTTAGCCTAGGTAGATTGAAATTCACTATTTGATTTTACAGATTACATAGGAGAGTTTTTTGATAAGGGTGAATATATTGAAGATCAAATGTTTAGTTTGGCTTATATAGGAATTTTTAACTTTTAATAATTAGTCTACAAATAGTTTATAACTAATTACATAACATCATTAAATGGCTACTCCATCCCCATCAGTGTTCAAAGGAGGCCCGGGATTAGAAGAAATCGCTCCGATGTTCCGTTCCGATTTCAATTCCGCTGTCCCGTTTCCAGACAGACGACACAAGGCGTTATAGAGGTCCTCGGCTATATTCGTTATGGTTCGGAAGCGTTCGTGACGGCGCGGTGGTGGGAGATTATTCCTCCAGAGAAGGTCACGTCAAAAACCGTGGCATTCTGACTCCGTCCACCAGACACACCCCTCCTTTCCCTTACAACGGATCTCCGCCATCGGTCCTTGCTCCTCCCTGAACGAATATTGGAGCGCAGGCGTTACTCCGAAAGGCAGTGGTCAGAAAAGAATTCGTCGCCAAGGCACTGGTTCGAAACAATCTGCACGCTCAGGCACTGCTCCGAAAGCCAGTGGTCCAAAAGACAGTGCTTCGAAAATAATACAAAGATAAGGCACTGGTCCGACAGAATTAGCACGGTCAGGCACTGCTACGAAAGGCAGTGTACTCAGAAAGGCAGTAGTCTGAAAATAATTTTCGGAGCACTGCCTTTTGGAGCACTGCCTTTCGGAGCACTGCATGGATTTACGTTTTGGAGCAGTGCCTGGATGCACACATTTTTTCAGACCAGTGAAATGAAATGAAATGAAATGAAACCAGCCTTATTTTCATTAAAACAATGCATTACAAAAGAATAATATTTTTTGATAAATAACTCTTCAATATACAAATAAAATATCTACATACAACCTTGAATCACACTTATTCTAGCGTTTTTAATTTTGTTTTGTTTAACTGCACTATATCAGCATTAGCCCAAAGGACTGTCAGCTGGACTGGCAGCTTTCATGTTAATTATAATATTACAATAGTTATTTGTGTAACTAGTGGGTAAAGTGGCACTTTGCTGCACACGAGAGCAATGTTTACGCACGAGACGCAGGCGAGTGTGGAATGATGTCGAGTGCAGCAAAGGCCTTTTGCACTCGTGTTACACATTATATTTTTCCTACAGTCACTATAAAGCATATAAATAATTAATTAGTCTTTCAAACACTATACAACACGTTTTTAGGTTCGGCTGGCAACACAAATAGGTGCCCTAGAGAAAGTAGTACCCGGTCCGTATTACTCCGCTATTTTTCCTCGGCAAGAAATGTACTCCGCGTTTTGAGAATATAGTTCCATATGTTTTTATAATTTGAAGTGGTTTCTGCGCTAAAAAAAAATGCTTAAAAGGTATTTTCTTGTTTATTAAGATCGTGGGAATGTTTTAAAAATGTTTAAAAGAAAAGTCCAGAAAGTTCAGAAATACCGAAACTATAAACACGAAATGACTGGTTAATTCGTAGTTATAATAGTCAATCAGCTGCTCATAGTATTATTATCTTTAAGTGTTGCCAACCTATTTCCAAGCGTACACGGATTACGTGCATTATAGAACCACGTTCTTTTGTGTTGTTTCGTTGGGATCCTGATGTGCGGCAAAGTATAAACCGTACGACAAAGTATAAAACGTACGGCAAAGTATAATTATGCAGCAATTAGCAGCTTTCTGTACTATAAACAGTACAAGGAAGCCAACTTTGTCGGGTGACTGTAGGACAAATATTTTTATTTTCTCCTTGTTTTCCATATTTCCTGCACCACGTTAGGATGACAAACAATGTATTTTTGTGTTTTTTTTATGCAAAATTAAATTCTGACACAAGTTTATATCTATATTTCCATGCATTAACTAAATAATATCCTAGACTTCGCCAGTCCCTACCATTTAAATATGAGTGTAAATCTTCCCTAGTAAGTTCTTTTTTTATGAAGAAAACGTTTTCTTACACCTGCAAGGATTGGACACCTACAGATATAATGAAATACATCCTCGTTTTCCCTTAAATTACATAAACTGCACACGTAATTTTGGTCACCTATCCAAGGCTCGTAGTTTAGATAAATTACTCCAACTCGTGCTTTGTAAATACATTTTATCGCCCTTAGAGATAAATTAGCATTGATATAGGACGAGTTACCCAATTCCAAGAGAATTTCAAGATAAGACTCGAACTAAATAATTTAGATTACTATATAAAGTGTACAAATATACTGATTCTGCTCCTGTTTCTAAATATAGCGCATAATTAGGTGTATTATTAGGCAATTGAAAGATTTTCTTAATAAACATTCTCAAAACACCCTCAATTTTATCATTCTTTTGATATCCTCAAACCTGACAGCCATAACACAAAATTGATTTAACTACCGCATTAAAGCAACTAAACTTTCTTTCCAACGAAATTCTACTACTGACAAAGAATTTATACCAGATATTATTGATTGCTAATTTTGCACTTCTTGATTTTGTGCTCATCTGATGTTCCCACGTTAACTTGGAAGTTAACTCTACCCCTAAATATTTATAACTGTTCACTACTTTAATATCTCTTCTTTTAAACGACCATTTTTCGTTTTCCTTTAACTTACCTCCATTTCTAAAAACTATAATTGTTTACTTGTTTAGATTTAGTTGTAAGTTCCATGTATCACGATATTTTTCTAGATTATTGATCATAAAATGTAAACTTGTGCCAGTCGGTGCTAGCAGAACTACATCGTCTGCATACATTAAAATATTTACTTTCTTTCGCCCAAAAATACAGCCACCATTTATGCTACTAGACATATTATTTATAAATAAACAAAATAACAAAGGTGAACACACGAATCCTTGCCTCAGACCTACTTTAGTTTCAAAGGATTCTGTTACGTTTGCGTTGTACTACACACCTGATTCAGTACCGTCGTACAAAGCTCGCAGTGCTGTACGCATGCGCGTTGATAACCCAGAGCCGATAACTTATAGAATAGAGCGTTTCTGTCAACTGTATCAAACGCAGCGCTAAAATCTATAAAGAACTATACAATTTGTTACCTTTTGAAGCTAGTCGTAGTTTTATCATACTTGTAAGATTAAGCAAATTATCAATAGTGGATTAATCCTTACGGAAACCTGCTTGCAACTCAGTTAAAATTCCTTGACTATTCACCCATTCACATAATCTATTGTGTAATAAGCTTGTATATAATTTAGAAATACAATTGATGAAAGATAGGCCTCTATAGTTTTGAGTTGAATTCCGGTCAGCTTTCTTGTGCAATGGAAGAATAGATAGATTTTTTAAAACTTCCTGGTGTGACATCTGATTGAAATATCCTATTAAATATATCTAATATAGTATTTAGTAATGCATGTGGCACATTTAAAAACAACTCATATGGGATGCCATTATACCCTGGAGCCTTATTATTTTGCACTTTAGTCAAAATTATCTGCAAATCTTGTCGGGCAAAATCCCTATCCAATAATTCATTCATTATAAAAGGCTCAGCATAACTTATTGTTCCCGACATTATTGGAGGATTCAATAAAGTTTGGAAATGTTGTACCCACTGTTCAGGTTCAATCCTTGCAAGCGTATTTTTTCCGATACTCGAAATTTGCTAATGGCAGTCCACATTGTTTTCCCATCCTTAGCGTGATTAATACAATCTATAATATTATTTTGAAAAGCTATCTTTTTGTTTTTACACATTAAATTATACCTCCTGCTTGCCTCTAAATATGCCTGCTTGTTTATTAATGAATTAGTTGTTCTAAACAATCTCAGTAGACTAAAAACTCTATTTCTAAGCGAGAAACATTCCCTATCAAACCATGGTTGTTTTTTTATAAACACTGCACCTGTTTTACTTGTATTTTCAAAGGCCGACTCTTTAATACACCTCGTTAGCTTATCTATACTATACGCATTATCATTTGTAATATGAAGGTGTGCAACATTTTTATCTACATTCTGTTTGTAAATATTGTTATTTCGTTCACCCCATTTTAACCTTGGAAGTAAGTTAAGGTTGTTTGTTAACCTTTCCTCACGTTTTGCTTCCAGCAGATATTATAAAGATATTTTTACTGTGTTTATTTGTTAGTTTGTAATTTGATGTATTTAATTTTCAATCGTGACACTTTTCACTGTTAGGATAGTGAGAAACATTTACTATATCAACTATATTAACTAGAAAACCTTGTTTTGTGTATAAAATATAATGGAAAAGGCGAGAAGCCTGTACCATTTGACATATTTCACCAAATAAGACGACTGAATTGACGCAGTAGGTACTGTATTTCTTGACCAATCATTGTTAAGAAAATTCTTAAAAAAATCATTACTGCCGGTACATAGTTTTAGAGGATCGATGAACTCTAAATTCAAATATGCATAGACTTAGTGAAAGAGTAGACAAAAACCTTAGCATACGTTTTGATATGAGGAATCAAAACCAAGAATGTTGCGTGTAAAAATATAAATAAATATATAGACTTTTCTTTATATACGGCTTCTCGTATACATCTAGCTAGCAGTCATTTGGTACATCACAGATATGTAACCAACTCTTGAAACTAGTATTGTCGATTGAATAAGAAAATCACCATTATGTGATTTTTGGAAACTTTTAATTTTGAATTATATGATTTAGCATCATGAGTTTAAAGTAAACATAAGCGTGCCATATATCAAACACAGATGATGCTAACCTTATATATAGTACCTAAGGACTGAGCTTTGCTCGTGGAAAATCTTTACTCTGAAAAGTTTACTCTGAAAGCAGTCTTAGTATTGCAGATGCATTAATCCATTCCCGAATTCCACACTGCTAACCTTTACTACTTCCTTCAACACTCCCTACGTCGTGGACCTGTTTTACTCCCTTCCCACAGCATTTTAGGATTGCAGATATGTAATTGCCACATACAGTTCCCACACTCGGCACTGCTAGCTTACTTCATTCACCACTTCCAACGTCACGGGCCTGTTTCCCTTCCTTCCCATTGCATTTTAGGATTTTAGATACCTTAATCTAATGGTCATTAACAGTTCCCAAACTCCGGACAGCTCGCCTTTACTACTTCCTTCACCATTTCCTACGTCGTGGACCTGTTTCCCTCCCTTCCCATAGCATTTTAGGAGTGTAGTGTCACAAACGCTGAATGTTTACAGCTGTTACGTTAAGCAAATTAAATTATTCCAAAAGCCAGTCTAGAATGCTAGCGTCGGCTAGACTTTGTAAAAATTAAAACTTAATTTCTAGAAAACTGAAAGCCTTAACTAAATTATGGCTTCAACATTCCCTAGTTCTCAAAATTATCTTTCATTAAACACAAAAATCATGAAAATCCGTCATGTAGTTCAGAATCGTGAAATAAAAAAAAACTCTGTCACGTTTTAATATATGATGATGAAGAGGATGATGATGATGATGATGACAAATTAATTGGTTACTAGAAATAGTATCCCTTTTTAAAATTGTAACAAAAATCTTATAAGGTACCTAATATAATTTTAAATCAATTATCAAGGCTGAGATTTTCAGTACATTTGAATGGTGTTCAATTATTCTGCAAGATAGAATTCCATAAGACCAATAAATCGTTCGACAAGGGCAATATATAATTCATAAATTTCAGGCTAAAGAGCCAAAAAGATATAACAAAATTTAACTGCAATAGTATAATGTTTATTTTCTAGGGATCAAGCAGTATGAACCACTAGAGGAGGTCCCAACCAGAGAAACTTACGTATGTAACGCAGAGGTCTTTAGTAGTTCAACAGCTAAACTCCAAATAGTGAAAATAAAGAAAGCAGACAAAAGCTTTGTTCGCCTGCAAATCAAATTCAACGTAAGTTTGGTAGAGAAGTTGTTTTTTTTTTTTTTTTTGGAATAGATAGCTAGACATCTGATCTCATATTATTTCTGTCTTACCGATAAGTGCTAGGATATTATTTATTCGTTAACAGTGAAATTCCTTATAATAGCAGTGTCTGAGATTTTTTTTAAAGCATAATGCTTTTTATTTAATTGTCTATCCCAGAAATTATTAGATTACATCAGTGGCCATTGAATAATAATTAAAATATTGTATTATTTAAAATATTGTATTGTGTTATAATAAAATTAACAGTGTAAAACCCTATTATAATAGTTAATTATACTCTATGATATTAAGCAGGGGGTCTACATCCTGTTATTTTGGGGGGGGGTAAATTTTTAACACATTTTTAACTATACTAGATACCTGTTGCTCGAAATCGAGTAAAACTGCTGCTTGTAATAAAATAATGAAGAACAAAAATCATAAACAGCAAAACCTTAATCATAGAGTCACTCTAAAGTAATTTATATGACTGATTATAAAAATTTAAAAAATTGTATGTTGTAAAAAATTATAAAAGAATCTACGGTACAAAAGGTACAATATTGAAATATAGATCCGTTCTCATACTGCTTAGGTTCTCTGCCCGCCTACACTACGTAAGAGAGAACTTCTCTCTCTAAAGTGAGCTTTTTAGACCTAATGCAGCGAAGCTAAATCCCTCTCTTGCTTGACGCCAACCAGTACAACACGTACTGCTATAGCATTGTTAAATTATTTCTACGATATGTTCTGTTTAAGGCGTTTTTTAAATTAGGGGCCCCAACCAAAGTCTCCGGTTGAAAACATAAGAGCGGATTCATGTTTCAACACAATCGATATATACAATCAACCCAATACAATATAATACACAGTTATAATACAGGGTGTTTGGTACTCAGTGTGAAAAAAATTTTTTGGTGTAAGTACAAAGTAAATGCAGTATTATAATTCATATAAAATGTCTTAAGTCTAAAAATTAGCTTCCCAAAGAATTATTTTAGCCTACGTTTTTCAAAAATAAATATGTTTTTAAACTTAATACAGCTATTTCTCAATTACCTGTAAATGGATTTGAGTAGACAATGTCATTTTCGTGTTCTACATTAAATTTTGAATAAGAATAATACAAAATGATGGAGGATCAGTTGTAAAAACTCCATCGTAAATAGATTCAAAGATAAAAATTAAGATGTCTGATAAAAATGCAAAAAACATTGGTCAATTGCATTTGTTCACACCCTGTATACAGGAAAGTGTCGGAATATGTTAAAAACTGCGCCATTTTATAAGCTTTCCAACCAAATGCTACACTATTGAGGTTTAGATATTTTTTTGTTTATTTTAGTCGTTTGAATGGCAGAAAACAGGGAACTTTTTTACTGTTTTTACTGTTCAAGCTGAAACAAAAATACAACTTTTGCTTAATACATGCTGACTTTCTATGTTTTAAATGATAAAGACGCCATGCTTTGTAGTCTTCAAACCACAAAAGCGTACATAAGCAGACAGAAAGCTCAATGGTGTAGCATATGGTTGGAAAGCTTATAAAATGGCGCAGTTTTTAACATATTCCGACACTTTCCTGTATACAGGGTGTGAACAAATGCAATTGACCAATGTGTTTTTAATTTTTACCAAACATCTTAATTTTTATCTTTGAATCTATTTACGATGGAGTTTTTACAACTGATCCTCTGTCATTTTGTATTATTCTTATTCAAAATTTAATGTAGAACACGAAAATGACATTGTCTACTCAAATCCATTTACAGGTATTTGAGAAATAGCTGTATAAAGTTTAAAAACATAGTCATTTTTTAAAAACATAAAATAATTCTTTGGGAAGCTAATTTTTAGACTTGGGACATTTTATATGCATCATCATACTGCATTTACTTTGTACTTACACCAACAATTTTTTTTCACACTGAGTACCAAACACCCTGTATAATAATGTTTTTAATAACTTGATGAAATGAGGTTTTGTTGAAAGTAATACTTGTAAAATAACTTAAACATTCACTCACTTAATTTATGTTCTTTATTTTCATTGTAATTTTGTACATTTGTTTTGGTTTTTTTATAACATATGTTTATGTTTCTAGGTTTCTATTTCTTCTTTGTACAGTATATTATATAACTGTGTATTATATTGTATTGATTGTATATATCGATTGGACCCCTTAACACTATTAGTTTTTTTTTTTTTTTTTTTTTTTTTTTAACAAAGAAACAAAGATTTATTTGTGCCAGGTGGTACTCTGTTTTCAGCTTTAATATAGTCAATTCCTTTGTCTCTTACTATGAACAACCTAACTTGACTCCTCGGAGCTGTCGTCCCTAAAAATTTCTGCCACAGTTTTAAAAGATTGGGCAAATGGATTGACATTGTAACCCTATTTCCCGCATATTTTTCATTGCATTTTTTGTTTGAATTGTTTTACATGCGCTGTTGGGTTACAGTGCCAACCGCCGTACTTATAGATCTGTGCGTATTCAGGATCATGACATTCTTGAGGAATTAGATTATCTACTCGGTGGTAAAACGTGTCATGGATCTTGAAATTGTAGATCCCCTGTGTGGCCCTCTCAAAATGAGCTTCAGAGCTGTCCATGGCAAAGGCGGAATTAAATTGACGAATTTTATCCAGAGGATTTCGGGATCAAAGCCTCAAATTCCAGTTTTTTAGATTGGGAGTTTCCAATAAGTTCCCCAAAGTATGGTAGATTCCGCAAATGAGTTAAACGAGCCTTTCATTTATGGCAACAAAGAGAAAAAATTGAACTGTCTTGGCCAGTCTTTTCTTGCTTAAAATGTAAGCCGCGACAATGTAAAAATTCAACTTTTAATTGTCCGAGATTGGATGTATCACCACGGCGGTACTGACACACTGTATCCGTCAAATTGGGAGGTTGAAGCAAGCGGTCATGTTTGCGTCCCCTCCAGCCACTCACAGTTCTTCGTCTTATTGGTGGCATTTAATTTCAAATTTAGATCAAATACGAAAGTTAACCAATAAAAAAAACAATACAAAGGAGTTTTTATTCACATCGTAATTTATATCAAAACCACATGATAATTCAGTAAAATACGGTGTAAGGTAAATAAATTCAACTATTACAGACAATTTGTTGTCAGGTCTCGCTAGGAAACTCTTTTTTATAAACCATACATAACAGATGTTAATGTTAACAGATGTTTAAATAAAAAATGTAAAATTCCGGCTTTGCTCTGGAAGTAATAAGACCTACAGTCTGTGGTTAAACTTAAAAACTATTTCAAACTACGTCTATATGTTTAATTGTAACAAAGGGGAATTGAGTTTGATGATATAATCTAATGTCAACAGTTAGCGCCACCGTTCCCAAACTTTAGCCCTTAACGTTACTTAAGTGATGCCCTTTCTTAATATTCTGAGACGTATTTGCACATTTACGTGAAAATCCCTTTAATTTGACACCTCAAACGTTAAAATCCGTCAAGCCGTTATCGAGTTATGACTGTGAAAAGAAAACTGCTTGCGTATTAATATATAGATTTGGTATATGTTCCAAATATGTTTATTCTGGCAAAAAAGTGGCACTTGGCTTACTTTGGCATGCCTAAACTACTCATTTGCATGGCACTTAGACCATACTAAGCAGGTGGATAGCTCACTTTGGCATTACAAAATCTTTCTGTGTTTTTGCGAAATTCCCATAGTAGCTATTACCGTAGGTCTCATGGTAAGACTTTGACCCGGGACCGATTTACTTTTTCGTTTTGAGGTCCCTAGAGGCCAAAAACACCATCCGTTCAAATTCATATATATAAAAAATTATAATATTA